ATTTGTTCTCTCACTCATTCTCTCACTCAGGAGGTATTTAATGATCACTTGCTCTGTGCCAAGCACTGTCTTAGACCCTGGAAATTTAGCAGTGAACAAAGACCCACCCCCTGGCCTCTGTGGAGCCCACATTAATGGTGGAGGTGGAGGGGGATGGTCAGGGATTTACAAGCAACATCACAAGTGCTCAGTTCACTGGCATCCCTGCATGTGCACCTGCTAAGTTCCAGGTCCTGTGCGAGGTAAAGACCCCATCCACTTTGGAGGAGGGGACTTGTGAACACATAATTGTGCTCTGATGTAACAGGTGCCACAACAGAGGATGGACCAGGCCCCATTGGCCTCGAGGGGGGAAGGAGCCAGGTGGGAGAGGTGCCAGGTAAGCGAGGTCCCAGATGGTCTGGCTGGCAGACTCTGGGCATCTATGCTCTTCTTTTAAAAGCTCACAAACCCATGCTATAATAGTTCATTGTAGACTCCAATTGGGCTTTTTTTCCAGGCTACTCATCTCTAGCTTGGCTCTTTCACCCAAACAGGATCTGACTGCAACTCCCACTGTCTATAATCCCACAAAGCTGTCTACTCACCCCTGTAGGTGGTAAACCTGTCTGTGCTCTTTAACCCCCAGGAGAAAACCTCTGGCTTTCAAGGCCCTGCCCACATCTGGGACTCCCTGCCCCGCTGCTCCTCCCTCCAAGGCAGCAACAGGTGACATGTTATTTCCCTAACAACCTGTTCCACTCCTTGTACATGCTACTCTCTCAGTCCAAGTGCCCTCACCTACTACGTGCTTGAACTCCTATTCATCCTTCAAAGCCCAGACAGAGCCACCTCTGTGGTGTGAAGCTTCCCTGCACCACCCCACAGCAGAGCTAATCAATCCTCCTCCAGGGATAACTTTCCACCTGCCACATTCTAATGCATGCCCACATGTCAGCCTTCCCTCCTGAACTGCAGGTCCTTTGACGGAAGGCTCTAACTCAGGCCTGGCCCACGGAAAATGCTCAAAAGAAAAATGTCCATTGAATTAAACTGACAAGAGTTCACAGTGCTTCTCAGAATCTGACAGGCATTTCTTTCAGTCCAGAAACCTCAAGTTTTTTAGAGCAATCAGGCACTCTTTGACAATCTGTTTATTCATCTTGGGTTTCCGTTTCCTCTAGTCAAACTTGGGTCCACCCGTTTCAGTTGTAAGTCATTTTCTGTGATAGTTAAGAGGAAAGTATGGGTCTAAGCTGATCACTTTCAACAGCCCTCCCCTGCTCACATCCTCTCTCTCCCTCTCTCCTGCCCAACTTGGCAGTAGACAGAGTGGCCCTGCCTGACACTGTGATCTTAACTCTGTGAATATGACAGCTTGTCACACTCCAGTGTCTAGGGACTTTGTCTCCTGACTGTTCCTCCTCACTGCTCAATTCTGCCTTCCTTAAAGGGCTGCCTTGGAGAGATCATCATAACGATGATGATGGTGGTGAAGCAGCCGATTTTACTGAGCACCTACTAGACTCTAGGCATTATATACTTTGACATTTTCCCATTTAAGACTTACAGTAGCCCTACAGAATGCTACTCTACCCATTTGACAGAAACGTAAACTGAGAACCGAAAGAAGGCACTAGACCAAGGTCACAAGTGGCTGAGCTGGGACTCAACACTGGGCCTCTAACACCTCCTTGTGCTATCTACACTCTTCTCCTTGCTGTACCCCACCTCTTGCACTGGGATGGTCCCAACTTCCATCCCACCTCCTGCCCCAAGAGCATCCCTTGGACCTTGGTGCCACTGCCCAGGTGGGCCTCGGGAGCAGGAGGTTGCAGGGCAGGGCAAGCCCATGTGGGACAGACCCTCTCTTTCCTTGGCCTCTGCCGGACACTTTGCCAGGGGGTCATTGTTGCTCCTGGGCACAAGGAAGATACTCTCACATGCTCTAGCTCACCTACTCATGATAAGTCTGCAAGACATCTTATTATTATTATTCCCATTTCATAGATGAGAAAACGGAGGCACAGAGAGGTTAAGTAACTAGGCCAGGGTGATACAGCTAGCAAGCGGCAAGGCTCTGGATTGGAACCTGGGCAGTCTAGCCCAGAGCCCATGTTTGCTCTTATCCTCTGTCCCACTATTTCCAGCACAGTGTCCGGTGTCAAGTTGATGCTGAACATATGATCTCCTTCCTGAGCCTCTGGAGGTCCAAAGCTAGGGACCTCTAGGGGCAATGGCATTATTTGCACAGCTTGGCTGTCAGGCCAAATGTCTGCCATCTGGATGGACAGCTCAAACCAGGGTTCCTGACGGGGCAAAGCTATGGCTCGTGTGGTGTACCCCAGAGGCCCGTGGGACATGCCACAACCTCTTCCCTTTGCCACCTCTGCTGGTGCGTGCTTCAGAGCTGGTGGTGCTGAGCCAGGACAGTCCCTGAAGGCCACCCTAGCCCATGGGCGAAACGGCAGTGGGCGGCGTGGAAGCACAGGCCACGCTCCCCATGGGTACCTGCCCAGGAGGCTAGTGCAGTAGGATTTTCTCATCTTTCCAATTCCAGCCGTTAGCCGTGGTCTCAGACTAGCATCCGCCTCCAGAACATTCCATCCCACAAGTCAGGCTTCTAACAGAACCAGACCAAAGTCCTCTGCTTCCAGACAGCAGGAAAAAGGTTTCATGTGGTGACCCCATGCACACAATTTCTGTGTATGTGTAACTACAACACAAGTTTCATGAACAAATATTTAAAAATTACCTTTACTCTCTGCAAAACCACTTTGGTGTTTTCTATTTTATCCTTTTTTGTTCTTTTCTCTCCCCATACTACTTTATTAAGAACAAAAGATGCTGATCTTGCTTGGGATTTCCAGATAAAACCCAGGATACCTGTGATTCCTTTTCAGAAAAAGGAATAATTTTTTTTACTATGTGTTTGTTCCAAGTATTGCATGGGACACACTTATACTAAAAAATTATTCATTGTTTATCAGAAATTCACGTTTCACCAGGCATCCTGCATTTCCATTTGTTAACTCTAGCATCCCTAGTTATGTGCTACTAAGCAGATTTTGAGACCTTCGAGAGTGAAAAATAGTGTTTACAGACCAGAGGGACTTTGTCTTCAGGGGTCTATAAACCTGAAACGGAACACAAACTGTTGAAGGGGGAATTTATTTGAGGCGGGGAGGTCCACAGCACTTCTCAAGTGTCTCGGGGAACCTATCGACCACATACACAAAGAACCACAGCATCACAGCTGTTGATATCCATCAGCCAGAACTGGGGCTGCTGGGGAAATTGGTGGGCTTTCCTTAGGTCTCCTCTGCTCTGCTGGCGACCACCAACCCTGTGTGGCCCCCACACAGGGGCTCTGGCATCACCCCTGCCTCCTGCGTTCCTCCTGCCCGGCCACCCTCACCTGAGCTCTTTGCCTGCCAGCCCCTGCAAGGACCCAATGCCGTGGGTTAACCGGGCCTGGCGCGCAAACGTCCTCTTAGCATTGTCTCACACCTTCATCCACTCGGTCCAGGCTGCAAGTTCTGGATTCCAGGACAGCCAAGCAAACTCCTCTGCTGTCCTCCCATCCAGAGGACACCCCATCCAAGCTGGGTTCTGCTAACTTGCATGCCTCCCTGCTTCTCCTCCAGCTCCCTGCCGGCATGCGCCTTCCCCCTTCCGCCCAGATTACAGCAGCGCTGAGCAGTGTGCCTGTGTCTGCCCACCACGCTGCCCGGGGGCGCGGGGATGCGGCGGCTTTGCCTCTGACCAGCTGAGTTACTGCGGGCAAGTAAACACGCAGACCCTCTCAGGCACAGTGCTTTTCGCTATAAATCTGCTTCCCTCAAAGTGTTGTTGTGACGATAAAATGAGATCAAGTGAGGAAATGCGGCTCAGAAAAGACCACATTACGACACACAGGTCCCTCTCATTGTACACAAGGAGAAACCGAGGCTTGGAGCTGTCCCGTCCGCGGCAGGCAGGGGTCCGAGTCCAGGCCGGGCCACATCTGTGCATTTCCATCACTCTGCTCGGTTGCCACCTAAAGTCCAGCTGCCCTTCATGGGTCCCTCCCCCGGGAGCCTCTCTGCAGCCCTTCTCTTTCCGACCTTGGCCACACTGCCCGCTTGTCACTCGCCATTCTCCCCATCGATGCTACCAACTCCAGACTCTGCCTCCCCAAGCTGCTTCCCACCCCCAGTTATCCTCCACCCACCACCTGTGCTTTCCTTCCGAGCTGAACTCATCCTGCTGACATATGTATTGGCCACTCAATGCAAGGGAATGTAAATTCCATGTGGGCAGAGTCCTTGACTGCCTTGCTCTCTGGATCTCCAGTGCCTGGCCCCCTGCAGCTTCTCCAGAAGCATTTGGTCTGTGAACACTTTCCATTTTACTGATGAGTTATTTTGATGAGGAAAATGCAAAGCCTCAGTTGCCCAGAGTGGGTCCTATGTGCTAGGTTTTCTTAGGAAGCCTTGTATGTGGATTAATTCACTTGATCCTTATCATCCTCATCTTACGAATGAGGAAATGGAGGCCCAGGGAGGTGAAGTGATGTGTCCAAGGTCACACAGCTACTAAGTGGCAGAGCTGGGATGTGAATTTAAACAGAGTCCATGAGCTCAGCACCATGCTAAACTGTCTCTCTGTCCACGCTGCCCTAGAGATGCCACCTGATTCGGTCACCTGAACCAGGCACTGTGATGACCACATGCAACAGCCTGGCTCTTAGCAGAGAAGAGCTCATATACACGCGGAACCACCACCCAGAGCTGAGTGTAAACTCGTTTCCCCAGGATCAGAAGAAGCAGGTGGAGCATACGAGCAGGCTCATGATGGAGGGGGCATGAGATGGGGGTTTAGCGGAGGGGAGGGGTCCCACAGGCAGGGTGAGGGCTGGTGGGCATCCCAGCACACGGGTGGAAAGCGCCTGGCAGGACTTTTTCCCTGGCAGCCTGCCGCTGCCCGGCCACAGTAAGGGCATCAGCAGAGAGAACTTCCCAGACATCAGGAGGCCTTACTTTTCTTGTGGCTGTAGAACTTGTCCTCAGAACCATCCTTGGACTTCTTAATTATCAGCTTCCCGGACTCAACATCGACTTTGAGCTGCAGTTTCTGAGCAATCCCCAGAGATTCTGACTTCACCTATGAAAAGGAGGAAGAGGAGCGGGCAGAGGGGGAGGAGGGCAAGGAGGAGGGGAAGAGGGGGTGTCAGTCGTCCCTTCCCTTCCCGGCCTTCACAGTGCCAGCCCATCAGGCCCTTGCCAGTGTAGCTGGGCAGCCCGTGGCCATGTGTCCAGCCCTGGTGCCCTGTGGGGGGCCGCCAGGCTTCTACGTCCAAGGGGGAGTCTGCACAGGCAGCGCCTGAGAGTCGCTGAAATGTGGAAGGAGCCCGGCTTGCCCGTTGTGTGCACATCGGCTGTTCCACCAGCAGGTCTGGTGGAGGAAACAGATGAACTACTGGAAAACGGCTCATTCCCTGCTTAATTTGACAACACTCATTAATCTGACGTGTCATCTACTTCCAGAAAGGATTTTAAGTGATAGATTTAAGCCCCTGGACCTTGTTACAACTGATAAATGAACATTTATTGATGATAATTAGGAAAAAGACAACT